ATGCGTATGCATTTATTTATTTATTTACTTATTTATTTTGTTTATTTATTATGTTTTAATTTATTCATTTTTCCCGTAGTATATCCTCAATGCATGCTTCGTGACTTCCAATCTCACCGTCCCAAGGACCAGCTGCTTTTGGCGCCAGAGGTGGACGTCAGCGGTCCGGCGGTCTATGCCATGAAACCCAGCGTCCGCACCGTCGGTGGAACGGTGGACTATGCTGTGCTGGTGGCCGGAGTACCTGCTGTGCCGTGGCGGACATGGTGATTGGTTGGACATTTTCTTGGACTAACCACAAACTTCGGAAAAATCTAGAAGTGTGTGAAAAAGATTCATTAGCCACTAAAAAGAGTGGAACATGTCTTTTTGAATCTTTTTTATTCCCCAACAGCGTAAGCTAATGGGGTCTTCAGCCCAGAATAGCTCCGGTGTGCACTGGTGCAGGCGCCGGGTCAGGTTCAACGAAGTTCCGGAGAAGGTTCCGGGGAGGCTTTGGTGCAGAGCCAGGTCAGGTTCTTTCGAAGAAGGTTCCGGAGAAGGTTCCTGGAAGCCTTGGTGCCAAGCCAAGTCAGGTTCAACAGGGTTCCGGAGAAGGTTCCGGAGAAGGTTCCGGAGAAGGTTCCAGGAAGCCTTGGTGCAAAGCCAGGTCAGGTTCAACAGGGTTCCGGAGAAGTTTCCGGAGAAGGTCGGGGAGGCTTTGGTGCAGAGCCAGGTCAGGTTCAACAGGGTTCCGGAGAAGTTTCCGGAGAAGGTCGGGGAAGCTTTGGTGCAGGTCAGGTTCAACAGGGTTCCGGAGAAGGTTCCGGAGAAGGTTCCGGAGAAGGTTTGGGAGGCTTTGGCGCAGAGCCAGGTCAGGTTCAACAGGGTTCCGGGAGAAGGTTCCGGGAGGCTTGGGTGCAGAGCCAGGTCAAGTTCAACAGGGTTCCGAAGAAGGTTCCGGAGAAGGTTCCGGAGAAGGCTCCGGGAGGCTTTGGTTCAAAGCCAGGTCAGGTTCAACAGGGGTCCTGAAAAGTTTCCGGAGAAGGTCGGGTAGGCTTTGGTGCAGAGCCAGGTCAGGTTCAACAGGGTTCCGGAGAAGGTTCCGGAGAAGGTCTGGGAGGCTTTGGTGCAGCCAGGTCAGGTTCAACAGGGGAAGGTTCCAGCTCTTGGCGTCGCAGCACGCTTCAGAAAGATTTGCAAAAATAAATCGTTGCGGCTCTTGGGGATACCACCGACGTTTTTTTTCTCCGGCTACTAGAGGTAAACTTGGAATTTAAGTACAATAGGACAAGCGGGGGATAACGTGCGGATTTCATTGTGATATGAGGTGATATGACATGTGGTGTCTCAACCGTTGGAAACCCAGCAATCTCATGGTGAAGAAAGATCATGTTTCAAGCATTGCAATCTTATGGTTTCAAACGCGGGATGGGGAAATGACTGTTTTGTTATGAATTTTCAGGTTTGGAGTCTTATCCCCGTACATGTGGGACACACCGGAACTAATCCCATTCTGCGGTCATAGTGACCCATCACCTCAATAGACCCAATAGCTGAAAAGTGAAGAGGTCTACCATGCTCAGCCAAAGTTTCTGGGGGTGGACTTGATTCTTACAGGTAAGGGGTTGACTCTTAGTGGGTCTGCTCGTGTAGCCCTCCAAAATGGGTTATGATCAAATGTATTGCATAATCCCAGAATCAGAAGTGGATGAAGGTTCAGTGCAACGGAAATTCAAAATTCCATTGCTTATGTGAAACAACATGATTTCCTCTAGATGTTCCTTTGAACCCGTCCATTGATATTACACTTACGGCCTTATGGCCCTTAACAGTTACAAATTGGATTATAACTCCACAAAATATATCTATCTAGATTGTTTCATTGTTAAACGGATGTTCACCACAGAATGCCAATGGGAAAATGATGTAGAGAAAACACAATGTGGTCATCCCACTGTGGTTTGACCATCCTGCTGAGTTGCAGAAAACTTTGAATGTCTCTAGATTATCTTGTTGGGGATAATTAATTAGATGTATATATACATATATATGTATATACATAGACATTCAATGGCACACACCATATACATAAATTAATAAATATATTTATATATGTACGTATAACCAACACAAAATGAAACTTTTGGTGTGCCTAGAAATGGTGCTTTTGGCCACCAAACAACACTTTTCATGGACAAAGTGATGATAAACAATGGGAGGTTGGGGACATATGTCATGTGTCGCTAGCAGCTTGATAGCCCTTACAAGAGTTGGAATTGGAAGATTCTGGTTGTCCAGTGCCATCTACTTTGCTGGAAGGGTTGGAGTATTGGGTTCGACATTTACGGCACAAGCCTATGGTCAACCAGGTCGACTCCAACAATATCCCAGTCATTGTTGTTTGATGTTGTTTGTATCCCTACTCCATATATCATATTCCCATTGTGTTCAGTGACATAGGAACCGTTTGGAGACACTTGGGAATGAAGAAACGTCTTCATACCTTCATAGGTATATACGGTATATAGGTTTGTACCCAAATATGGTATCTTATGCATTCATAATGTTACCCACAGGGCCCGTGTGTTGCCCAAGCCCAGGATAGCGTAAATTACAAGGATTTTTTGTTCAAACTATACATCTCATATAAATTCCCCCACCCCCGTTAAACTTCTACATTCATTGAAGATTCTTCAATAAGGGTTGAATTCCCACCCCCCTTAAACTCTTACATTCGTTGAAGATCTTCAATAAGGGTGAAATTTCCCACCCCCGTTAAACTCTTCCATTCATTGAAGATCTTCAAAAAGGGTTTAATTCTCCCACCCCCGTTAAACTCTTACATTCATTGAAGATCGTCAATAAGGGTTTAATTCTCCCAACTCCGTTAAACTCTTACATTCATTGAAGATCCTCAATAAGGGTTTAATTTTCCCACCCCGTGGAACTTCTACATTCATTGAAGATCTTCAATCATCATCATCATCATCATAACGAAATTTGCCCGGAACGTCCCTGTAAACTTCCGGGCAACACACAGGGCCTGGCAGTAATGTTAGGATCTTCCCAACCATTGGGGCATGTTCTCCAATACCCCCCCAAATGATCAACTTGCTAATTTATTAGGGGGTATCCTAACATCAAATCATATGAATCACAATGGATTAGCAAGTTGATCACCCCTAGGCCACAATGATAGTAGTTCATGGAGTTCACCCCTAGACCACGTTGGTCCATTCACAATTTATATACGTTCATCCACCATCAGGCTGCAACATGCGGATCACCCCCAGTGGCCCAGGTCTCCACGGTTTCCGCGGCATTGCGACCTGCGAGGGGCAAACTGAAGGAAGACGCCGAGACGCAGCTGGAAGTTCTGTGGCAATCTGAGGATTGCAACTTGTCGGAAGACAAATGCATGGTTTATCGCATGAATTTGGAAAGGGTATTGGTAATGGACATTAATAGGATAGATATATATATATAACATAGTTCATTTATAATAATTTTTGTATATATAAATATAAATAGTATAATATAAATATATATATACAATATGATTAATATAATTTGAAAATATTTATATATAAATATTAATTTGAAAATATAATATCTTTCATTCATATTACATGATGCAATATATATATATATGTATTAGCATATTCTATATAATTTATAACATATTATATTTTATTTAATTCAAAATTATTGAATGTAATATTTTTTTTACTATTTAATATTTTTTATATAATACAATATAATCAAATATAGTTTAATATAGTATAATATAATTTAATATAATAGAATATAATAGAATATAATGTAATATAAAATAATATAACATAATATAATATAATATAACATAACATAATATAATATAATATAGTTAACATCTTATTAAATATCATATTTATTTTGTATACATGTGTGTATAAATATACATATATATATATATTGAATATTGTTCATAAGCAACCCAATGATATTTGGGCGTGTCTGAAACTAGGGTCCATTCGATTTCGGGGGTATTCTATGTTCAAACCTCTCTAAGGTCCCTAGGCATGTCCTAAAATTTGCCGGTTTTGCTGTGAATCCATACCTGAGAGCTGTGATTTATACATAGTATCGTCATACCATCCCCCCTACATAGGACAGACCCTGCCAAAGAATGGATGATTATCCGGGTCGCGCTGTCAGTTGGGGGGATGGTGATATCTTACAGCAAGTCATAGAATCCATATTTAGATGCCAGAATTAGCTTGGTGATTGGTCAGTTGGTTAGTTCACCTAAAATTTGGAGATCTTGGGACCCCAACACCAAGTAGATCCTCCAACGTATAACGAATCCCAGGGTCCCATGGTTTAGCCTCAACCATATGTGAGGATCATGTCCGAAACTGCTTTAGTTTTGTTTGTAAACGATCTTCAGAATAGATGGTGGATGTTGGAAGATCAACGATTTATAGATGACTTTTCAGTTAAAACCCCCATTCATAGTGGAGTTTCATGGATTTTCCCTGTCTTTCTGTACGTTCTCTGCTCAAAAACCGCTCAAAATTCAGGCTCGCTGCTGCGCGCCACGGTGAAGACCACCGAGGTGAAGTCACAGGTCTGCAGGTGCGGCAAACATTGATTTTGAATAAGTGAAAACACATACCCTCTGGTAAACTAACATAGCTATGGAAAATCACCATTTTTACTATGTAAATCAACTATAAATGGCAATTTTCAATAGCTATGTTAGTCATTGCCAGAGGGTATACTCAAACTCTTAGGGGATTTCACCAACCGATGGTTGATGATATGGGTTGTTCCAACCTGTGCTTTTGGGGTGTCTGGTGATTTTTCCAGCTCTGTTTATCGTCCAGAAGTAATGGTTGATTACTTGTAACGAAACCCTGGTTGGTTGATGACTACTACAAATGGTTGCTATAATATACAATAATTATTGCTATTGGTCTAAATCAGGAATATAACTAACAATATCAAAAATTTCACCATTAGTAAGGGTTTCACAGGGGTATACTAATATATACAAGTAATTGCAATTGCATGGAATTTAAATCTGGGATAGCACTAACATCAAATAAAACTGTAGATACTGTATGTTATCACTATTGATACTAGTTACTAATAGGGATTGTTAATATTAATCCTATATGAGAATGATATCTCCAAAGCCATGACCCGGCGCCAGGCATTTGCACATCTTGGGATGTCCTGTCTGGGGCGACCGCCTGATCCTGAGAAGGATCAAGGGCAGGGTATCTTGCCCCCCTTCAGCTTCACTACCCTCTGGTAATTTAACATAACTATGGAAAATCACCTTTCATGGGAAAATCCACTATAAATGGTGATTTTCCATAGTTATGTTAAATTACCAGAGGGTAAAAGGCAGGAAACTGCCCCATTCTGATGATACATCAGAACCTTTGACCGCTTTGCATTAAGGCCTACGCACCTCCAGTGATAGTTTTTGGCGAATTGCCGTAAAATATGGCAGACATGCATGGACAGCCGCTGAGTGGGTCAAACCAAAGACCTATGTTCTTAATGCCCAAATTGAAAGCTGTTCTAGATGTGAGAAACATGAGAAACAACGTAAAGAGATGTAAAGAGTACATACTATATTACTATATGCATTCTGAGGCAGGCACAGCCCAATCTCGGGAGAGAGGATTTCCAAGCAGAGCAGTGAAAGGTTCCATTGGCAAAGAAAAAACAGGATGGCTGATTGCACCACCATTTTCAGGAACCGAACACAATGGACAACTGAGATCCTCTTGAACCCATTAGTACTTGACTAGACCCTCAATAGAGGTACAGCAAAATTGGCATTTCACATCAACAAATGGTACCCTGACAAACGAATTTATGTCTTGACCCACACTCCTCACAGTTATAGCCCTTCAAAGATCTAACTGGCTTATAACCTGATTTTGGTGGCATATTTCACCTTAATTACAGGAGTTAGTTCATCCCATTTAAAACTATTAGTTGGATCAATCCACTGCAGTCAAAGCATATGTCCAGGTGTTTAAACTCCACGACTGTCCGTTTTCAGGTCGCTACGGAAACCGGCGTGCCAATCTACGGGCACGGGCCATCTTTGGCCTTGCCCGACCTTGGTGCCACCTGATGCGCAGCTTCGCAGAAGCTACCAGCAGTGGGCACTGGTTGAAGACTAGGAAAAGCCAGGAATCATCCCAACATAAGATTAGTTCAGGGTAGGGTAAGATTTCTATTTGCCCAAATTCAGTTTGGTGAAATGGTGACAACTGTTGGAAGAAAATAGGTGTTAAGTGTAGGCGAGTACATCCTGGAGATTCATGGAGGATGTTTGTCTGAAAATAGGGTACCCCTAAATCCATTGATCAATCATCATTATCTTATCCCTGCATTTACATGGTCATAAATCGAGTATACATTATATATACGGTATATTATATTATATTATATATATATATCCCATTTTCATCCAAACCCATGTGTTGCGGTTCTTTCGTGGCAGCCCGGTTCGTTCACCGGAGTCCAGGACTGGAGCTTTTTGGAGGCTGGGGTGGCATCATTTGCGAAAGTTCACCACCTCAAGAGCTCATGCGAGCAGCTGGACTGCAACTGGATTCGGGGATCGAGGCGCCCATGGTGGTGAATTCGAATTAAACTTCTTCAGCTTTATGTTGACAACATGTTTGCAATCTTGTTGTCGGATAACAGTTTGGAATTGGTCAGTAGAATCAGTAGGTTTTTTCGTGGTCGTTTCAAACATGTTTTTTTGGGAATGATGATCCCATGTGTCTGACTATCGTTCAGATCAGCGGCTGAAACCAACGATGTTCTTTACTCTGGATGTTCATCACTATCCCCCCTTTGTGTTCAGTAACGATTTCGAACGATCCTGAAATGGTTGATTGGGGATAGTTTCGCGAATGGTTGAATCCCAATTGGATCTTTAATCTATGTTATAATTCTCAATTACCCCTAAAATTCTCCCATGAAATCCCATGAGCAGTGAATTCCAGCCATGATTTCTGCTTTACCTCTCGAGGTTCTTTCAGCCGTTGGGTGCCGGTGGCGGTTTCCCGAAGCCGCCGTGCGCGTGGTGCCTCCAATGCTGGACTTCCGGACACTGGAGCATGGGCTCTCCCTGGCGTACTACGTGGCGACCCGAGACAAAAAAAGACGCCAGCAGAAGGGCTGGATGGTTAGAGAATGTCAGAGATTTGTTGCAGTTTTTTTGCTGATAGGTCTTGATTGAGACATTGGGTCAAAATGATGAAATCCAGCCAAATTTCAGGGAATATGTATGAAAATGATTGAAGATGTTTAATACAGTATCTGGTTGCTGGTTTGGATCATTTTTTATTTTTCCATATATTGGGAATCCCAACTGACTTTCATCCCAACTGACTTTCATATTTTTCAGAGGGGTAGGTCAACCACCAACCAAATCTGATCGCAAGTTCGTGCAGGTCCCACCGTGCGTCGGACTCTGCACCGATGGTGGCCACTTGCAGGACTCCAAGAGAGGTTGTGACCGGACAGGACGCCGACTGGATCAGTTCCCAGGAGTTTGAGATACGGTCATTTTTTGATATTTGTTTTGGTGAAAAAAGGGAATATCTACTAAACAGATCGATCTACACAGATCTAGAAACAGATCGATCAGATATATGTTTCGTTTCTGATCTAAGATTGGACATGAACTGGAGATTTTGAGTATAGAATCTATCATGTTGTACCCCAATGTTTGAAGCCACGAACTGCGAAGTGTCATCAATGAATCTTTTGAGGCAGGGATTCATTGCCAGAGGACGAGGAGCATCGATTCCATGTTGTGTGAGGATGTGTTTCCAAAATCAATGTCAAGTTAATTTTCACTTTTGGATCTTGAATTGTTTATTGCCCACGCTCTACAGGTCTTCGATCACTCATCTTTCTCTAGAATGACCAGTTCCTTCACCTTGATGATGATCTAATAGTTGATGACGATGGCGACGATGATGACGATGACGATGATGATGGTGAAGTTGTTTATGATAATGCCAGGCATTATCCTGGTTGCAGCGGTTGCAGGGGGAGTCGCAGGAGCTTGGAACATTCCTGGAGGGCTTTGAGAAAATCTTTGTGATTGCCTCTGGGAGTGGATCTCCTCGAGCCATTGAAGCTGCAGACTCAGTGTAGGAGCCATCTGATGACCCGATTTTTTTTACTCATGTTTTTGATGCATGCTTTCCACCAACTGGAAACATGTACCAACATATTGGTATGGCATGTTGTCTTACTTTGTCTTTATATTTTATGGCCAGTTCATGAAGGTCCAGATATTCTGCTTCAATCTTAAAGAGACTTGTTTTTTTCCGGCAAAAAGGAACCCTTGGAGTGGATGTCCCAGTTCTTCGGGTTGCTTGACATTGCTTGACATGTATGTTGACTATACTATTTTTTACCATTAAAATAACCCCCACTGGTCTTCATTTGTTGGGGTCATTTTTTGGGTGTCAGTCATATGTTTATTTCATATGGTAGGCTGGGATTATCCGATTATCCCAAACAAATGATCCCACGAAGGGATGGGAATAGATCACATTATGACGGACAGTGGCCATGACAGGTGCCATGGCATAATTTCCTCACAAAAAGCAAGAAAAGTCATACAATTCCATTTATTTTTTTCATGATATGGCTAGTTTCCTCATATGTTTGATTGCGCTTCCCCCTTTTTTATCCCCATCCTATATCCATCTAATCTGTCTCATTTGGGGTCGCAGCTGGCTCGTCACGCTGAGCCGCTGAGGTCATGGCAGCAGCTCTTCGAGTGATGAAGGCATTGAGAATGCTTCAAGGATTATATATAAGTTATAGAAACATGTAAAGTAACGGTGGTTAATTGAATGCTTAATAACAGTATATGTAACAATGGTTGCCACATTATATATATATATGTATATCGGTGGTTAATTGAATGCTTAATAACAGTATATGTAACAATGGTTGCCACATTATATATATATATGTATATATATATATTACACAATGGTTAATACACCAGTGATGATAATCTACAATCATATATTAATTTATTGATAATAATGGGTTAATATGACTGGGGGGAAACAAGAAACATCCAGAAATCACACATCGGGCACCTGGGGTGCCCTCGTTTTGACTCATAGCGGTGATACTGTGGATCGAAGATGGTTTGTCCCATCATGATCCCATTATTTACAGTGTTTCATAGTTACCAATAGTTACCAACTATTGCAGGATTTCTTCCATCCACAGTATCATGCTTAATGGTTCATACAATGTGTTGACCACATTGGCGAATACCATGTTGGCTTATTTTGGATGATTCTTGGGACTAAGAGCATAAATATTAGTACCAACATTATCAATTTTACAGTAGCAGCTAAGAATAAATATCAAAGTCGGTATTATCAATATTGTTACTTGGGGGTACTAGTCGTTATTAGTCTCTTCTTACAGTATAGACTCGAATGATATATTGGGATGGATTCCTACTTAAGACTAGACTACCATATCATATAATAGTCTATATTAGCACTATTGGGATGATATTGGGATGATACTGGGATGATATTGGGATGATATTGGGATGATTATGATAATGGCGATGTGAATTCAGGGCATCAGTGGATGCTTCCACCGGTAACGGCCGAAGCCTAGCGCTTTCATGGTGGGATGGATTCTGGGATCAGCGAGCTGCAAAAAATGGGAAACTCCAGAAGAATCCAATGGTTATCATCATCTTCCCTAGGAAAATGGCTAACTTGGAGGGTTTTTTTTTCATCTTTTGACACACCCAACATGGTTTCTTTAGAGGAAGAAAGCAGCTAGATGGTGACCTCAAAAAGAAATGGGTAAAGTAACGGATAAATGGTAGTCTAATCATCTAATCCACTTTCTAAGGGTTCTTGAAATTTGAACCAAACCCATGTTGCATCCGTGTCTCTACCCTCTTGAAAACTAAGTTGAAACCCAAGAGATGAGACTTGGAATATGACAATGATAATCTGATAATCAATGATAGGTTCTTATAGGTTTCAGCAGTTTTTGGCCTTCATTTTACGGTCATTTTCAAGGATGTGTCTCAAGCAACATCAGGCTATGGTTCAACATGATCTGAAGATATCTGAAGATCCATGTGGATTTGTCTGAGAATGGGGTACTCCCCAAGTCCCATAGATTAATAACATCATCTTTCCAATGAAAAATGCCATAAAATACCATAAATTGGAGGTGTCTATCCCCAATTGTTGGAGAAAAAAACAGTGGAAGATGGCCAGGCGCAGTCCAAGGTGACGGAGCTTTGGTTCGTGGTGGAGGGTACACAGGCGGCACAGGTGGTACGGACCTCAGTGGCGTACCCCCATTGGATCTCTTCTTGTGAAGAGCCATGTGAAGGGTATGCAATATTAGCGAGGAATGATTTCAACTGATTTTTTTTGCTCTAATTTGGGATGTTATCCAGTTTTTTTTTGTTTCTCGTGTGCTGGGTATCTAAGATTTGCCATATTCGAGTTGGGAACATACCACTATTCTGAAAAGGGAGTACCTCAGAATTCAATGATTGATATTCATTACCCTCTTATTTCCCAGCAAAATCATTGATACTCCATTTCCAGACACAGCCATATGAATTCATATGCTGTTGATATTTGCTGATGATTCCCCCTGGTTACATCCATTCACTGGAAATTGAGGCAGAACAGATGGTTCTTGAGACTTGAGAGTAGCATATTTCACTGGTTGGTAGTTGGTTGGCCTTGTTTCAAAGAAAAAGAATACAGGAAAATTTGCAGGAAACTAATTTTGGATAAAAATGGATAAGTTGCGGAAAATCATTTCTTTTGTAATAAGATGTAATAAGTAGTGGTTACTGGTTTGATTTCCATTAAAAAATCAATTAGCAGGCCGCTCGCAAAGGAGCAATTGGTTCACTGGTGGTGTTTTTTGCAAACGATTTTTTAAAATCCATGTGTAAATTTGATACAAAAGGTCCTTGATCATTTCTTTGCGCAAAAATGCCCGAATTGTAATGCATTTGCACGTGCATTAAAGTTTGAAATTTTCGGACACGTTTGGAACAAGTTTTGACAAAATTGATTAAACATGTGTAACCAAATTCAATAAATTATTCAAAATATCTCAAAATTAACCAACATGCAACCGATTTGTTTCAAATCTACCAAATTGAGCATTTAACCAATTTTACCCAATTTTAACCAATTTTAAAAAAAATTAACCAATTTTAATCAATTTTATCCAATTTTAACCAATTTTTAATCGAATTTAACGAAAATTGTTTTCCCGAAACCCAACCTGCAACTAACTGACGCATTTCCTGCAATTCCCAAAATTTGTGAGAATTTACCTCCTCAAAACAACTTTTCAATGGAAAACTTGGATTTTTTCCTTGCGTTTGTGTCCAATTGAACTGAGAGAATTGGTTTGCCTTGGGCGTGCTTGCAATATTCTGCAATCAACTTTCATAGGTGTTTGCGGTTAGGAAACGGTGCCAAGATGGTCAGGGGGTTGCATACTTTTTCTATGCGCGCATATTTGCACAGTTCCCACGTTGTGCTATTTTTGTCCGTGCCAAAAAAATATAGAATTTGTGTATTTTCCAAACCTGCTTGGCACAATCTTGTTCCTGCCTAGTTCCCGAAGTCTCGAAACATGCTAAATTTATAGTAATATATCAGAAAATATTGCAATTTAATTTCGCTCATTTAATCGAATTTATATTCCTGCAAATTTTCCCTCAATCCATTTGTTTGATTGTTGTGGAAGGCCTCTATTTGTAGGTCCAAATTTTGGTAGGTGTCCTTTCGTTTGCAATGTTCATGGGTAGTTCAATAGAGGTTCAAACTATCAACAAAAAAAACGATACATGACTTAAGAAAAAATCAGTTGAAAAAAAAACTGTTCATACACATATATATATATATTATATGATTATATATATAAACAGTTATATATATACACAAGTTTGGAGATTAATGACACATATCCCATACCTCCATGAAACTCCCCCAAGGGATTTCGCAGTTGCGCCCCTTTTCCCCTGGACTTCCAGGAAGACTTGTCCAAGAGTTCCATCCCATACCACGCGGGCCTTTGGGGCTTAGCTCGCTGTGCCAGGTGGGAGTGGTTAAAAGCGACTTTTTGGTGGGTGAAGTTCAAGAACTGATTGGTGCTTTGGAACCATGGAATTTTGATTTTCCATATATTGGGAAGAATCATCCCAACTGACTTTCATATTTTTCAGAGGGATTGAAACCACCAACCAGAGAAGATTGAAGGTCTTTTGATGGATCGAGAGTTTAGAGCTACAATTCTGAAAAAACACAGTGGTGCTAGCAATTTCGAAATTGTATTTTTGAGACACTGCATCCGACTCTGTGGCCATACCTTCAAGCTGCTTCAAGTTTGTGACCTGACTCCTCTTCGCTCTCCAATTTTTGTGGTCCAGCGATGGCTCCTATGAAAGCGATGAAGGCGATGAAGGCCAAAGCTACCATGAAGGCGATGAAAGGTGCCAAACTCATGAGCAAGGGTGCCCTGGCAACTGAATTGTCTGAGGCTTCCGGATTGAAGAAGGGTGAGATTAGCACTATCCTGGACACCCTGGCAGAGATTGGCACCAAGGAGGTGAAGAAGAATGGCAAGTTTACCCTTCCAGGCCTTTGCATGATCAAGACCCGCAAGAAGAAGGCAACCAAGGGTGGGAAGAAGATGATGTTCGGCAAGGAAGTGAAGGTCAAGCCGCAGCCTGCCAAGACTGTGGTGAAAGCATTTCCAGTTGCTGCCTTGAAGCAACAAATTTGAAGCTGCGGTTGAAGGCGCAGCTGCAGTCTACCACTGGTGGCATTTTAGGGACTGGGTGCCCGGAGTGTGGAGACTGAGCGCTGATATTATGATATTTGTACATCTGTTGTATCTACTGTAGTCTATCAATCTTGGAATCCCGATGCATTCAATCACGCTGAGCTTGCAAGTTGCCAGCGTGCACTTTTGATCGTCCGACCAATTGATGGCAGCAGAAGAAAAGTGTTGTCAGAAATGATGCTGTATAGGTGTTTGTTTTCCAAGAAATGATATATTTGGAACTCCATATCCTTGTGATTCTTTTGCAGTGGTGTCTTCCCTGGCAAATTGATGCATGCTTTGGGATCCTTTGTAGAGCATGTTTTTCAAGAACTCACAGCAAAGTCTCATGACTCAAGGGTCACTTCGGATCTAGATTAGCCAGATTGCGGGACATTGAAGTGGGATGGCGTTACATGCTCCATGCTCAAGCTGCTTCAAGTTTGTGACCTGACTCCTCTTCGCTCTCCAAGTTTTGTGGTCCAGCGATGGCTCCTATGAAAGCGATGAAGGCGATGAAGGCCAAAGCTACCATGAAGGCGATGAAAGGTGCCAAACTCATGAGCAAGGGTGCCCTGGCAACTGAATTGTCTGAGGCTTCCGGATTGAAGAAGGGTGAGATTAGCACTATCCTGGACACCCTGGCAGAGATTGGCACCAAGGAGGTGAAGAAGAATGGCAAGTTTACCCTTCCAGGCCTTTGCATGATCAAGACCCGCAAGAAGAAGGCAACCAAGGGTGGGAAGAAGATGATGTTCGGCAAGGAAGTGAAGGTCAAGCCGCAGCCTGCCAAGACTGTGGTGAAAGCATTTCCAGTTGCTGCCTTGAAGCAACAAATTTGAAGCTGCGGTTTGAAGGCGCAGCTGCAGTCTACCACTGGTGGCATTTTAGGGACTGGGTGCCCGGAGTGTGGAGACTGAGCGCTGATATTATGATATTTGTACATCTGTTGTATCTACTGTAGTCTATCAATCTTGGAATCCCGATGCATTCAATCACGCTGAGCTTGCAAGTTGCCAGCGTGCACTTTTGATCGTCCGACCAATTGATGGCAGCAGAAGAAAAGTGTTGTCAGAAATGATGCTGTATAGGTGTTTGTTTTCCAAGAAATGATATATTTGGAACTCCATATCCTTGTGATTCTTTTGCTGTGGTGTCTTCCCTGGCAAATTGATGCATGCTTTGGGATCCTTTGTAACATGTTTTCAAAACTCACAGCCAAAGTCTCATGAAAAACCTTTCAGGGTCAATTCGGATCAGATTAGCAGCTTGCGGGACATTGAAAGTGGGATGGCAGTTACCCCCATGCTCGCATGCTCAAGCGTTCAAGGGTTGTGAACCTGACTCCCTCGCTCTCCAAGTTTGTGGTCCATCGATGGCTCCTAGAAAGCGATGAAGGCGATGAAGGCCAAAGCTACCATGAAGGCGATGAAAGGTGCCAAACTCATGAGCAAGGGTGCCCTGGCAACTGAATTGTCTGAGGGTTCCGGATTGAAGAAGGTGAGGTGAGATGAAGCCACTACCTGGCAACCTGGCGAGATTGGCACCAAGGAGGGAAGAGAAGAATGGCAAGTTTACCTCAGGCCTTTGCATGATCAAGAACCGCAAGAAGAAACGGAACACCAAGGTGCGGAAGAAGATGTGGATGTTCGGCAAGGAAGTGAAGGTAAAAGCGCGGAATGCAAGAAGTGTGAAAAGATTTCCAGTTGCTGACTTGAAGCAACAAAATTTGAAGCTGCGGTTTGAAGGCGCAGCTGCAGGTAGACCACTTGGTGGCCCATTTTAGGGACTTGGGGGCACGGAGTTGTGGAGACTGAGCGCTGATATTATGATATGTGTTAAATTGTTGTATCTACTGCTAGTCTATCAATCTTGGAATCCGATGCATTCAATCACGCTGAGCTATGCAAGTTCCCAGCGTGCACTTTGATCGTCGACCCAATTGATGCAAGCAGAAGAAAAGTGTATGTCCGAAATGGAATGCTGTATTAGGTGTTTGTTTTCCAAGAAATGATATATTTGGAAATCAATATCCTTGTGATTCTTTTGCAGTGGGTCGCAGGGGTGCCTGGCCTTGGGGGCTTGCGGTGCTGGGGGAGTGTCGTCCGGTGTTGACGTCCCGTGTTCTGTTTTTGTTCTTTTGTTTTTTTCCCTGGCAAATTGATGCATGCTTTGGGATCCTTTGTAGAGCATGTTTTTCAAGAACTCACAGCAAAGTCTCATGACTCAAGGGTCACTTCGGATCTAGATTAGCCAGATTGCGGGACATTGAAGTGGGATGGCGTTACATGCTCCATGCTCAAGCTGCTTCAAGTTTGTGACCTGACTCCTCTTCGCTCTCCAAGTTTTGTGGTCCAGCGATGGCTCCTATGAAAGCGATGAAGGCGATGAAGGCCAAAGCTACCATGAAGGCGATGAAAGGTGCCAAACTCATGAGCAAGGGTGCCCTGGCAACTGAATTGTCTGAGGCTTCCGGATTGAAGAAGGGTGAGATTAGCACTATCCTGGACACCCTGGCAGAGATTGGCACCAAGGAGGTGAAGAAGAATGGCAAGTTTACCCTTCCAGGCCTTTGCATGATCAAGACCCGCAAGAAGAAGGCAACCAAGGGTGGGAAGAAGATGATGTTCGGCAAGGAAGTGAAGGTCAAGCCGCAGCCTGCCAAGACTGTGGTGAAAGCATTTCCAGTTGCTGCCTTGAAGCAACAAATTTGAAGCTGCGGTTTGAAGGCGCAGCTGCAGTCTACCACTGGTGGCATTTTAGGGACTGGGTGCCCGGAGTGTGGAGACTGAGCGCTGATATTATGATATTTGTACATCTGTTGTATCTACTGTAGTCTATCAATCTTGGAATCCCGATGCATTCAATCACGCTGAGCTTGCAAGTTGCCAGCGTGCACTTTTGATCGTCCGACCAATTGATGGCAGCAGAAGAAAAGTGTTGTCAGAAATGATGCTGTATAGGTGTTTGTTTTCCAAGAAATGATATATTTGGAACTCCATATCCTTGTGATTCTTTTGCTGTGGTGTCTTCCCTGGCAAATTGATGCATGCTTTGGGATCCTTTGTAGAGCATCTTTGTATGAAGATGTATCGAGCTCAATTATAATCCATTGATATCCATCAATATCCACTATTTATATCTATTCATATCCATTATTAGTTCATCATTTCAGCTTATATCCATGGTATCCCCAGGACCACTGTTTTTTTCCCCGGAGCTGGGAGCTGCAGGCGGGAGCAACGCGAGCACTTCGTGGGATGTCTTGAGGCGAATCGAGCTGCCGAGCTGCCGAGCTGGGATCCTGTGGCGAACTGCTCCATATGCAATTTCTGGATTTTCAGGGTGACCATATTATGAATATATGTGATTATAATATATGTATGTGTATATATATATATATGTATATGATTATTATATATATATGTAGTTAACTCTTGCCTGTTGTAACGTTCTCGTTGCGGCATTGCGCTTGAATTCAATATATATATATATGTTTATATAGGTAAACTATGGGTATAGAGTGTGGTGAATATGGATGAATATGGTGTGTGGATGTAAATGGTGTTCATCATGGCAAGTCGTAAGTTTGGGCCATGTTGATATTTGCACGGTTCATAGTGTTCAGCATTTTTTCTGTAAGGGTATTTGAGACTAGTGCCGATCCTAGATGGTCGTGAAGTGTCTCCATCCACCAGAATTCCAGCTTGGGTTTTCCCATGATTTGGGCATATGTCATCACATTTTGCTCATAGATTTCATGCCTTATCTGAAAGGTCTACCGGAACTGTTTTCTCATCTATATAGAGTCAGGTAGACCTTTGACCTGTCGAATTTGACATGAAACCAGGCGTCCCGAAAGATGATTCCGGAGATTTGAAGATGGTTTTTGTCATGTTTTGTTTGAAAGTAGGGTGCCCAAAATCGATGTGTGTCCTCCTTAAAAATTGCTATTTTTAGTGTATATACCTCATTTTCAGCTCCGAGTCCCCCATATCCAGCTTCAAGGTTCAATATGTTTGCTGCACCTGTGGTACCGGAATACATAAAATTCCTGATGGCTACAAATAAATGTGCGTCAGGCGGGTCAGGCGAGGCAGCAACCCGGCAGGTTGGCATTTATCCTGCACCCCACTGATGTAGCTGCAGGTTGGTTGCAGTTCGGGTCGAGCTGCTTGTGCTGCTGGAATCTGGCGGCGTTTGCGAATTGCCAGTGCTAGTCAGGTTGGGACCTTCTGTTGCTTTCTGTGGGAGTGGTCAAAATCCTCGGTTGGTGTTGCAGAATGGGGTTGTACTAGGTGGAGTCATAGGGGTGATAATAAGGCAATATGAGAAACCCATAGAAACCCTATCAATGTGCCAGATAGTTTGCGCATAAGAGACGACTGTGCTCAATTCACAATCAGATAAACACGCCACTGATTCACCATCAGATGAAGCCAAAAACCCCGGGGATAGGGATAGTTGGAGGGATATGCTACTGTGTATGGATACCTGGAGGGATGAAATCCCCGTCAAATGGCCACAATAAAGGTATGCACCATTTGCAGACAAACCATGTTATATACTTCAGTTGATGTACATATGTTATAGCATTTTATTTATTCTATTACTTTTATACTATTAATATTCATGTGTTTGCCCCCCTGTCGCGATTGAACCATGTTACCGCAAAAGAATATACTTACAAGATGGTGCCCCCAGGGTATAAGCTGGTTAAAACCCTCATTACCTGTATGTATACATATACGTTTACATGATGTGTAAATATGAATATATTATATAATCATTATATATATATATATACATACCAGTATCTTCCATAGACCATAGTTATTCAACTAGTTATTGAAGTAATTTTAACTAGCCTGTCGCGATTTGGCTCACTGGGGCACCACCCTAGCTTTGATGATATATCCAGATATATCCATATTGATTATATTGTATATACAATATATATATATATATATCCATGTTGATTAAATTGTACATAATATATATATATATATACAATATATATATACAATATATATATATATACAATATATATATATATACAATATATATATACACAATATATATATATATATACAATATATATATATATACAATATATATATATTTACAATATATATACATATATATATATATGTACAATATATATATAGATACAATATATATATATATAGATATACAATATAGAGTTACCCTTTGGTAGTCAAACATGACTAGCTGGGGAATCCCTGAACCAAATGGAGGTTTTAGGGAAAATCATCGAACAAGCCATGATGGATTTCCAGCAAGCCATGTTTGATCACCAGGTGGGATACGTATAAAGTGTATAAAGTCATCCCCGTCAAATCCCATGAACATCCCACTATATATTTCCCACTGCTTGAAGGATTATTCTTAGCCAGGTTACTAAGTCCCCATTCAGTAGATTGTCCCATTTTTTTTTGCGGCTAAGAAACCCCTTTACTAACCACAAACACATGGGATGATCCTCCAAGTAGTTTCCCCCATCCATCGACAGGAGGATGGACGCGAGCACGAACTCCTCGTGCGCCGCTCCATGCAGGGTGCTGAGGAGCCTGGTGATCAAAGCTGTCTGAAGTTGATACGGTAGCCTCGGATTATTTCAGGTACCTAAATTTCAGGTACCGTAACATATAACGCCATATTTTATCATATTTTGGGATATATGATATATCCTCTTCAAAAAGAACCACATATATAGTTGGATAGACTAATAGACAGATCAAGAATCTACAGCTGTAGCCCTTAACAGTAATAACTTAATAACTGGCTGAGAAAACCTGATTTAATTAGTGTATTTCACCTTAGTTGCAATAGTTATATTCCCATTCACAAGTGCTAAGGGCCATAACTGTCATGGGCAACCTTGGTGGATATGGGGCACCTCTGACTATGGTATATCATGGCTATTTATACCGTCCAGTAAATTAACATAGGCCCTGAAAGCAACATTTGTTTAGTGAAAACTAATCTTACAACCCCTGAATTTAGCAGGGCCTATGGAAAAAATTCGGCAGATGGTAATAAATCCCCTTCTTTATCACCATTTGTCCTATGAAATTGTTAATCATTGGGCATATACCCCAGTTTCAGAGACAGCCATAATATATGTTTGTCTTGGAAAGCAAGGCTTTCAGTTGTGATTTATATTTTGGGAGCTAGCCAAGCATGCTGCAAATGATTCTGGTGCATTTCGATTGCCAGGTGGACTGACGGGATCCAAATGTCGTATGACAAATAGATTTATATGGATCGATTGGAGGTCTAGGTACAAACAGAGAACACACCATCACAGTCAGAACATCGCATTTTTTAGTACCTATAGTGCTCATCCTTTGCAATGGTCGGGATGGTTCGCCATCAACGTTGAAATCAGGGATCGATTGGTTGACCGCCTTAAGCCTTTTGTTGGGCTCAGAGGGATAAAGTCAGTACCCCAGGAGTCGTGGCAAATGACGGATGTGATGTAGCTGACCCAGCCATTGTGTGACCATATTAAGGGGCTATTTTTTTGTGTGACAATTTCAATGTTCTCTTGCGACATCAAACCACAAGGTGGTGTCCCACTATAAGTTGCTTTGTAAACTCAAAAAAACAACATTACTATAGCTACAGAATGCTACAGTACCATAAACCATGGTCACGCTGCTTGTAAACCACGCGGGGTCATGACCTGACATCGAGGGGATCACTGAAGCAGTTGAGCTGGTGGAGCCGGTCGAGCCACTTTCCGCGAGGAGTCAGGCAGTGACGAGGAGGACGTGGAGCGGCACGTGGCACGGCTGGAACAAACGACGCCCAAAGTCTGGAGCTCAGCGAAAATCGGAGGGGAAAACAGCCTTGTTATCTTGTTGTAGACATAGAAATGATGAAACGATTTGATGGCAGTACATGGGAAAATCCATGAACATCCATTCTAAATAAGGCATTTCAATGGGAAAATCATCCAAAACCATGGGGATTTTTGTTGCATCGCCATGTTCGATTGCCTGCCTACCTTACACCAAATGTGTACTTCTTTTGGCTGGTGGAAACATCTAAGCCATGGCAGCTAAAGAGTGGCCACCTCTAAAAAGTCATGTGTATAGGAAACATCAGAAACCCTGGATGCTGCGTTTAAATCTTGGAATGGTCCCTGTATGTGTTTGCTGAAGTCGACTGTCCCTTTCAGAAAGGGGATTTCCACCAGCATTCTTGGGTACCCTCTGGCAAACGTTTACATAACTATGGAAAATCACCATATTTAATGGGAAAATTCACTATCAATGGCCATGTTCAATAGCTATGTTAAATTACCAGAGGGTACATGTTTTGACTATTTTTGACTTAACAAAACGCTTGGCTCATGGTCGAGGCTTTTGGAGTTTGGCCGCCACCGATCTTTCCCAGTCACAGCTGGTTTGCGATCAGTCTGAGACTTGGCTCTGTGGCCTCTCCGTGGATCTGGATACTCGAACTAGCCAAGAGACTCAAAAGTTAATCCTGCTGAGTCTGAGTGGTAAAGGAGACCAGCAAATATTTTGAGACAGAATGTGTATATACATATATATATATATATTATATGATAATATAATATATATATATATATATACAATATATGTATCCGCATATTGTATTATTGATGCATGCATACATATCAACTACAGCATATTTTGGTAGCCTTGCGTCCTTGCGTATTTACTATATGTATGCTTAGTTGATATTGTATACAAACACACACTATTAATTTGTAGACTATGTGACTATGCACAAATATAATTACAAGCAATGGTTACTAGGGGATATACACGCCATTTTCAGACACACCAATATCAGTTTGTTGTAAAAGAAACGCCAGCCCTATTGTATCATATTGTATCCCTACAACTTGTTGGTTTGATATGTCACATATAGTCTAGTATGCGAGCAATGTTCAAAACCCCTGTTGCCGTTGGTTGCTGATTTTAGGGAGGTTATACTACCAGTAGTCAAGTAGTATCTAATATATTGACCAACCAGTATAATGAATAGCATATACTTTTGAATCTTTTGAACACTGCTCACTTGGTGCCCGACCCTTTTCTTTCCTAGATTGATCAGTTCTCCGAAAGTTAAAGTCATCATTGTCTTGATGATATTATGATGAATTATATGTCCACATGCACCCCCATTGTGTCATTACATAGCACCACATACCCGAAAATCTGTATCATTCACCGTATAAACCATAGCAGCCCACATATTAGCTATAGATGTCTATACATAGATAGGCCATATCATATATATATATGTTACATAATATATATATATATATGTATTATACATATATATATATATGTTATATTTATATATATATTATATGTGGTTAACTAAGTTTACGTATAAATCTAACCATGGATCAGCCGTCGATCTTTCTCCAGGCGGTGGCTGTGGGGCCTTGGGTCTCGCCACAGGCGCCTGGCTGGTGAACCAGGCGTGGCCAACTCACTGTCGTTATAGAACGTCCATTGAGTGGTGATATATGGTATTTTATAGTCCATTTAATGGTGATTTATAGTTATTTTTTATGATATATTTTTGGAATTCTATTTTTTTAGTGGTGATTTTATGGCATTTTATAGTCCATTTATGGTAGATGTTCAGTTTTTTATTTTTCCGGTGGTTTATTGTATGTTATGGTCCATTTATTGTTTATCAAACCACTAAAAGCCATGAACATCATCCCATACTTGTGGTGTTTACTGGGTTTAGGCGGCTTCTCCAGTGTTGTTTAACTCATTTTTTGATGATTGTTATTCTATGATTTTGACATGGTTCTATTTTTGCTGAATCAGTAAACAAATCAACCAGACAAGATGGTGGATACATATGGATATCCTTTGCTGCACTTGAATGCGTATGCATCACTAAGAAAAAACTGAAATTATTTGTTTACTTTTTTGGAAAACTTCAAATTTCATGGGTAAAGTACGTATACACGTAGTAAAAACATTGTTTCCCCCTGTTTAGATTTGCATGGCATGGCCATAAAACGGTGGTGAATATTTACTGTTTGGTCAATTCAATGCGGCTGATCCTTAGGTTGATGAGTTCAGATCAGACATATATGGAGTTTTGAGTGTCTGATCTTAGGCATTGTTTTAATGTCAAAAAGGCAAGAACAAAAAGGTGGAAGAACGGATCCCATCAGTACTATCAGAGCCTAGCCACTGGGAATCCAAATGGAGGGACCAGTTAGTCCACTGGCATCCATTAGCAGTGATGGGTAATATGGGGATGGGTCAAAACCTATTATTACCATATTTGGAAGAATAAACATCCATTAGCCAGCTATTTTAGGTACCATCCGGGTGCCAGGGTTTTGACTCACAACCATATCGCATCCACGTGAGCAAGAGGCCAAAAAAATATGCCCCAATTAAGACGTTTTTGTTTTTCTTTGGGGTGTCTTTGATGTATAACAGAAGTGATGACATTACATGATTTTCCACTCTCCATGGGCCACACCGTTACAAGTGATGTTCGTCAATCGGAACCAGTTGGAACCATATGTTCAGGTGATTTTGGCCCTTGACCAGCGAGCCTGCTGGTGCTTCTGCCTTGCCCTGCTGGGCTTGGCGGTGCCATGGTGCCCAGCCATGGAAGGGACGCAAGATGTCCAGCTCACCTGAGCTTGCCAGCTACAACTCCGCCATCAGCAGATGTGGCAAGAGCAACAAATCTTGGCCAAAAGTTCTGGAGCTGCTTCACCTTGAACTGCCAGAGGTGGGTTTACAAGCCAACACAGTGAGCTACAATGCAGTGAGCAACAGCGTGCGCCAGGGAGCCTGGTCACTTGCACTCGAATCGCTGAGGATCTGTCAACAACTCCTGAGGGCTGATGTAGTTACCATCAACTCAGCCATACGAGCATGCAATCGCTTGCCTCGCTGGCCTGCCACCCTTCAGATCCTAGAAGAAGCAGTACAGGATGGTCTGGAGATGGAGACTGAGTGCTGGTTTGATTCATTGTTCTTTTGCACGCTGTAATATATTTACTGTGTATGTATAATATACATATATATAATATATATATATATACGTATGTATCTGGAATATCTTTGAACTTGAATGATGATCCTGTACTTGTATTTCTATGTTTTTTTCGGGCATGAAACTACGAAACAGGATATCATTGCATATAGTTCCGCTGGCGCCATTGATCAGAACCAACTTTCACGCTGGAATGCCACCTTGAAGCTCCTAAGCCGCGGTCATCAACGGAAGATGCAAGTGGATGTGGTTTGCTGCAGCACCATGATCAATTCATGTCAGAAGGGAGGGCAGTGGCGCTTATGCCTGCATTTTCTTGCAGAGTTTGCGCTCTGCGCAGCGTTTGGACCAAATCTCATCATGCGCAATGCAGCCATCAGCTCATGTGAGCGCGGGGCGCAGTGGCTTACTGCCCTCAGGTTGCTGGATATACAGCCAGTTGGGCTTTCCCAAAAAGTTGACATCATCACTTTCAATGCTGCCATCAGTGCCTGTGAGAAATCCTCCCAGTGGCAGTGGGCATTGCAACTGCTATCGGCTGCAAAAGCGGAACGGGCGGAACGGCTGAGGCTTGATGTGATTACCTTCAGTGCTGCAATCAGTGCGTGTGAAAAAGCAGCACGCTGGGAGGATAAGGGTTCAATTTGTTGGAACATCCAGATACCCTCTGGTAAACTAACATAACTATGGAAAATCACCATTCTTGATGGGAAAACTCACTATAAATCACCATTTTCAATAGCTATGTTAAATGACCAGAGGGTAATTCATTCATTGAAAATCGTTGGTCAAATTGTCCCTAGCTTGAACTAGCGGTTCGTGGTATCAAGTGTGATTTATCTATCCATCCTGATTCTGAATGATCCCCAGATGACGAAAATCCCTTACCCTCTGGTAAACTAACGTAACTATGGAAAATCACCATTTTCAATGGGAAAATCCACTATAAATGGCCATTTTCAATTGCTATGTTAAATTAACAGAGGGTAAGGGATGGGTTTACCAACCAAACTACCTCAACCCGACGAGGAGGCGCTTCAGTTATATCGCGAGCTTTTTGCCACAAAGCTTCAGTTGGATTTGATCGTTTTCAATGCAACCGTCAGCGCCTGCGAAAAGGGCGGTCAATGGGAAGCGGCGCTCCGCTTGCTGCAGGACTGACATGGAGTGACTGAGAGACTGAGCCCTGTCCAACTGAAACCATATGGTTCAGTGATGGTTTAGACATGTTTAGACAGCTGGACTTCATCCCCGAATGACCCAGCTTCGTGGTATTTCGTGGTCACAGGAGCTGGTAGAGACGCACTTACAACCAAATTTGACCGGCCACAACGCATTGCTCAGTGCCCTCCAAAAAGGATCACAGTGGCAATTGGCCCTCAGTATCTTTGGGGAGATGAGACACCTGGACTTGCTGAGTTGATGCTTTCCGGAATTTTCCAATGGGAAATTCACTAGCTATGTCTAGCTATTACAATTATAGGGAATCTGTATGTTGGGAAGATGTTTTTTAGTCTTTGTTGGGTTCTTTGTGCCGAGGTCAGAAGCGAACGATGAATTTGATTTCATACAACTCGGTGATCAGCGCATGTGTGGATCACTGGTCGATCGCATTGCAGCTCTACGAAGACTTGAAGGAAGTTAAGGAGGACGAGTTGCCAAGGGGAGATATTGTGACTTACAGCTCGCTGATCAATGCTTGTGAGAAAGGCCATCAATGGCGCTGGGCGATATCGTTCTTTGAGGAAGGGTTTCAAACTCCTAAGAGGTGATAAAAGATGTGTTGACTATACTTATAATTGGTTACATGTCCCATATCACCATATATCACCATATATCACCCTGGGAATCCATTGAATTTCATGGGTGAAATGATGTGGTCCCTGGGTCACCATTTCTGAATGCCGGGTTTTTGGTGGATCAACGATGGGCCAAGCCCGACTGAAAAACTTGATCCAGGAATCCCAAGAGATGTCGCTGCTCGATGGCATTTTGTACATCGCCACCATGACCTCCGTTCGCAGACGCTGGAGCCTGGTTCTGAAGCTTTGGGGAGGGCTGAGACGGAGGAAACTGAAGGTTGACACTGATGCTGGGGCTTCATTCTTTTTGCATGTTGCTGTTCAATCCCGGAAAAAAACTGGTGACCCTGTTGGTTTTGATTCAATTGGTAACGAGTGAACACCAGGTAAATTCATGTAAAATCTATGGTTTATGGTGAAGGTGTTAGAAGAGTTTTAAACCAACTTACAAGAAGAGGACAGAACGTTCAAAAGTCGGAGGGTTCGTTCCTGTTTCATTTATTTGTGATCACCTTATCACCTTTTACTATTGTTTTCCCTGTGAACAAATGAATAGAAATGCTGGTACTGGTAGCGGTTTCTTTATATTCCATCCCAAGAAAAACTGAAGATATGATGACAACCCCAATTCACTTTCCCTATTTCTGGCATGCATGACTCAACCAGACTGAACCAGGATGCCTACGAGATCATTCTTGGCGCATGTCAACAGGGAAACATCGCCGTCGATGAGGTGAATTTACTGGCAGAATTGCAAAGGGATGCCATGGCGCTGATCAGTTGGGAACGAAAAAGCGCTCGCCGCTAGACTGGGAAGCATCCGGAAGGATCTGGGTCTCGGAAGGTCTGGGTTAAAAATGATCCGATCCATTCTGCGTTGTATTGCGATGTAACTTGGTTCAACTGTGGACTGCAAAGTTTTGGGGTTTGGAATATTCGATGAAATGGGTCTCGTTTTAGGATTGTTTGTATTTGCTATAGTATACTATACCATCCAACTCATGTTTGCATTATCCAAGATTGAACCATACAGGTATCATCCCATACTCTTTGGTGATCTCATCTCATCTATAAAGATTTGCAATACGGTTGAAATACCCTCTGGTAAACAAACATTAACATAGCTATTATTGAAAATGGCCATAGAAATAGTTGATTTACCCATGAAAAACGGTGATTTTCCATAGTTATGTTAGTTTACCAGAGGGTAAGTAAGCCATTGAAACTGCACTTGTTCAGAGGTCTTGAGCCATTGGTACACAATGTGTGTGTTTTCCACATTTTCTCATAGGTTTTCCATTGGTGGGATTGTCCAGCCTGTCCAGGGTGTTCAGCATGTAGCACTGCTTTCTCGGAGTGGAAAGTGCCAGGCCATTCAACGTGGGTGGTTGAAGTGCAGGCTGCTTAGACCCTCAAGTAACGCATGCACATTTGTCATCGAAACATATGTTGGTCTATCCGTTTGTGTTTTGACCTGCGTGGTCAAGCCATGAATTGCTTACCCAAAGAATTCTGCAAAGAAAATAATGAATTAGAACATCTTTGAACATCTTCGATGTGTTGTTGACTTGGGGAAATCCCAAATGGTTTGTTTCACAGATCTGCCGTTGATGTTGGGACCCAGCGTGGCAAAAAAGTCTGTTCTATTTTCGGAATCCGAAGGTTGGCATATCTTGTAATTAAACACCCGTGTCCGCGTGTCGAACGATAGCCGCTGCATGCCGCTGCCTCGCCAGGATGGAGAAGCCGCCAAAGACTTGCAAGAACTGCACCGCTGCCATGCTTGGTACATCTTGGTACTGCGACAAACAGGACTTAAAAGCTGCCAAGTTAGCAGCCAAAAAGTGTGGCATGATAGCTGCTGGTGGTTTAATTCATGATTTCTGTATATTTCTGTATCATATTATACCATATCATCTCAATCACTTTATAGATTCATAGCACATATATATATATTTATAATTATATATATGCATAGATTATGTTGTTATTTGTTTTCTTTGACATGATGATCCCAGTTACTTAAAAAAGAACAACAGGAATGGCTGGCTCAACCCCCAGGTTTTGCCCAAGGCTCCATGGATGCCGTAACTTGAAACATGCCAGGTACAGCGGCAATGTTCGGGTGCTGATGCAAAGATGTGATGTCTCCTCTCAGGATGCAGTTCATAGCTTAGCTCAGAGCTTGAGATATGTTGAGCACTGATTCTTCTTCACATTTTCACAGCAGCTCGTGATTAGTAGCTTCAACCGCTGGGTTTGAAGGCGCATGCACTATGCACTCTATTGGAAGTTGACAGATTTGAAGGTTGTGACTGCCAAATTTCACAAAGCCCGCTTTTAAGCAGGAGTGTTTTGCATTGGGATACATGTCAACAAACCACTCAACAGAGTCTACAGAATGTAGTGAATCAAAGTACATGAGCAAACCACACCGGCGCTGCATCCATGTTGAAGCAGGTATGGCCTGTATTTGGAGGGATTGGATGGTGAATGTTATACAACGAAAGTCTTCTATGTAGCCTTGGCTGCTAAGCTGACCCACCAAAATCTGAAAACCATATGTATCTAAATCTTGCACATCGATCAAGATAATGTGAATCTCTCAAACTTGGATTCAGCCTCTGAAAAAATCTGCATTCCTATACATATTCCTTATTCGCAAACCTCCTGCTTAAAAGCGCTCTGTGAAATTTGGCAGCTTTGACACCTCATGAAATATTACTGCGTCTCGGACATTCAACAAACATCATCCAAAATCAGAATGAACCGTTCAACATCTGTGAATTCAACAGATCGCGTTGGAGCGCTCGGCCCACATTTCATGATCAGCCCGTGCAGATCGAGGTCAAGAGCGCTGCTGAGGCGATGAAAGCTTTGGACGGCATTCCTGTGAAAGGCCAGTGATGTTTGACCATGTTTGATGCAAAATCGAGGGGTCGTCGCTGTGAAAAAAAGGACTACCCGGCTACAGAAACCCCATCCACCAACATGGTGAATCATTGTTTCATCATTTTGACAATGGAACTTATTCAAAAGGTGATTTGTTTGGGTCCATTCCCCATGTTGGTCCAAACCTGTGGTTGACTTTACTAAATAGGTGATGAAACCCGAGAACTGAGTCACATTTTAATGCTTTGAGCTCTTCATATCTTCAGTTCTGGTGTATGCAATATAACTAACATTTGCTATATCTGGTATGGGATCCAATCATCTGAGGATAGTATTCTAAGGCCAAACCATGACAACATAGTTTTTGTGCAACTTGGGGGCATGCTCAACATCTATAGGTACCTTTTTGACTACTTGGGGGTGCATCCAAGTTAGTAAGATGTAAGTGGGGATAATATGTATATAATTATGATTATTATATTACATTTAAACCAAGTATGTATATAAATATATATATATACATATGCATACATATATACATATGTTTATACATACTTATATACATACATATATACAAACATATTTGGAATATCCCGAGTTACACATCGGTTGTATATATATATATATTATATATATATGATATAGGGGCTATAAACCACTTACTACAGTAAGTGGAATGCACATCCAAGTAGATAGGTATACAGTGCAGCTCTTAGCACATTTTTGTATCTCATGTTTTTTGCAGACAAGAATGGAACAACACAGGATGAAAATCATCCCTTCCCCACCAAACAAATGTCAAAATAGTTTATTAGTTTTGGTGTTACAGTTTTTAGGGCACCAGATGTTTTTTGGGTAAAAACCCAATGCCATAAACATCAACGAACCATCAGCCGGGCCACGCCTTGTTGGCAGGTGTGGTACATGCAGCCGGCTTATTGGAGGAGCATGGGTGACATCGGTCACCCCAAGCTTGGATGGTTCCTGTCCATATGGAGGTTTCGTCAAATGGGGTACCCCCAGTTAGCATCCATTTGTATATATATATATATGATTTTCCATGAAATAAACCATCCAGCTATGGGGTACCTCAATTAATGGAAACCCCTATATTAGATTGTCAAAATGTTCTTTGTGTTTGTTTGGGACCTCTCAAAGCTGACTGCTCTCACACTTGCAGGGCCCATGTTGGAGAACGCTTACAGGGAGCCCATTGGATCCTTTCTGTTTTTACCCATGATGAATCAGAAATTCTCAGGTTTTGTCTATCACCTTTTTCCATGACGAAGCACACATTCAAAATCCCACTTAGATGGTCCATGGTTGGTGAGTTCACTGGTTATTGACAAACATATATCCACGTATGTAGGTTGTATAAATCCCAATGTTTCTTATGCACATGTTCACAAGTCCCCATAAATTCCATATGTTTTCATGATTCAAATCCCAGGTCCTGTGTTTTTTTTAGCTAAAATTCACCAGCGAGTTGCAGAATCTATGGTACTGTGCACCAGGACCATCTGATTGCCCACATGGAGCAGGGTCACCTGCAACCAGTCCTGGCTCCGAAGATGGATGGCGCGATTCACCTGCAGGCGAGCCAGGTCAGTCCCCACAAGTACCTTAGAGATTAATGAACTTTGTTTGAAATGGGAAGATTTGGGTTGATACCTTTCTATTTATTGATCACTATGTGTATATATATATATATATCTCATAGTATAAGTAAATCTTATCATTATTACAACTTTTAAATGTACATAACATAGTATTAAACATACATGGCACATTTACTATTCCAAAAACTAGTAACTGTAGTATGCCAAGACCCTCCGAATACCTCACAAATTGTAACACGTACTATAATGTTGGGGTAAAACACCATGTTTATGGGTACTAACTGAAGGTCTAGGTATATACTAATATTATGTATTATATTACTATTGGGCACTGTTGTGACGATTAGCGCGATGCTTGCTGAGATAATCATGATCAAGCATATACAGTATATATATATACACCATCTTTATTACTATTCACTATTCCAAAAAATTATCTATAGATGTCAAAACAGATTCATCTATATTATAATTATAGCTATATCATGATCTCATCTTTTCTATCTACATCTATACATATATATATATATACATACATATATATACCTGCACCCTCATGTGGATGCCAAATTATTGCCTTTACTGGAAAAATTGGTTTTGGATATTGGCGCATGTTTCCAGGGGAGCAGCGGCAATTTCTGTGTTTGCTCAAGTGGTGGGCTTATGATGGGGTTCCTGATCTGATTCATGCAAATCAAAAGCACTGAGATCATCCAAATTGGTAGGAAATGTAGCATCTCACAATCAAAATCTGCCACAGCCTTGTAACCCAAGTTCCATCTTATAGAACTCCAATTCCCAGTTTTTTTTTTTCCAGCTCGCATCTCGATGTCCGGTGTGAGCTACGAAGTGGTCAGCCTGGCGGTACGCTTGGCATGTTTGCTGCTTCTGGAAACCATGGGGGTGGATGTTGAACATGGCTCACACCATACATGTTTTTTTGGCTTACAGCTGTGTGGTGAAAACATTCGAGGTTTGAAGGGAAAGTATATAGGGTATCCCAAGTTGCTATGTCGGCCATGGATGTGAAAAAGGAGAGTGGCAATCCAATGGTCAAAAAGGAGACTAGTGGTGCAGAAGGAACCCAGGGTTACAGAGCTGCACCAAAACGGGCCAAAATCGTAGACTTTAGTCTGGCAGGAAAGTGGGAGGACAGCAGGTTGGTCAGAGAGCTCCTACGTAACCAGGGGCGCCTTGTGCGTTGGGTGAGTGAGAAGTTGATCAATGTCATTAACTTGGAAACCTTGGGGGTGAACTCTACGATGATGACTTTGGTTGCTGAGCACCACTGTGCCCAGACAAAGGTTGTCAAAGCCCCTGCCATTGACTTCCTGAAAGCTCAGGTCAAGGGGTGGTCATCCATTAAAACAAGGCACGCATACTATGGACACATATAGAGTGTGACATATACACTATACAGGCTTTACACAGGTACTTTGAAGGTATGGGATATGACATGAAATATAATATATGTTGTAAATATCCTTTATAGTACACTATATAATATAAAATGAAAATATATAATATAATATAATATAATATAAAATTATATTATATTATATTATATTATAATAAAATATAATATCAAAATGGTATAATATAACAGTATAATACAATATAATACAATATAATATAATATGATATAATATGATATAATATAATATAATATAATAAAATATAATATAATATTATAATATAATATAATATAATAAAATATAATATAATATTATAATATAATATAATATAATAAAATATAATATAATATAATACAATATAATAAAATAGAATATATAATATAGTATAGTATAATAAAATATAAGATAAGATAAGATAATATAAGATAATTACTAATGTCAACGAGCCCTTTCGGGGCAGGGGTCCCTTACGGGTGGATAGGTTGCAACTTATAGCCAATAAAAAAACGTTATTTTAAGCAGTATGTGGAAAAGTCACTCAAATTTAACGCATCTTGGTTGCACAGCATTGTGCACAATATTTGTGGGATAAAATCGGCCAATCTAGGTTGGTTACTTGTCCCATACACATGAAACCAATAACCCACAGCTATCTTATATCATAGAGACGCTGATCGCTTTGCAATTCAAGTTGCAACTGTGTGAAATTTGATGGATCACACATACAAATGCCCAAAAATGGTTGCCTATCAAAAGGACCAGAACCAGTACATGGTTTGGTTTTGCGAACCATCCAAAAGGAAATTAGCGTGCATCAGCTGAAGGCTTAGAGGAGTTTTGTGTATGGCACCCTCCTTACTACACTAAAACGAAATCAATTTTCAATCATTTAAACCTTGTGATTCCTTCCCCTATGTGTGTGGGTGTAATGCAAAAAACTCCCCACAGAGATCACGAATCACGAAGTGCCTTTTTTTCGATCCTTGTCATTCTGCTATGCAGATCTGTCTGTCTCTTGCGCAGAGCGGGGCTGCTGTCGATTCTCGAGGAGTAAGAGGTAAGAAGCTAACAACTTGTGCGGCCATTAGCCGCCAACACAGACCGAACTTTGGAAAACACCTTGCTGAACTGCTGAACGCTTTGGAAACAAGATTAGTATACATAGGTAAAACGCACTAGCACATTAAGATACATACATAAGATATAATATATGACAATTATATATATATATACATAATTATACAATATACTATATTAATATTGTATATATATAATAAATATGCATATATATATATATGTATGTATATTTGCACTTTTCTGATACTATCTACAAAGTCTTCGAAGTGGTCCAGCGGTGCCCAGGGAAATCGCGTCATAAGTGCTACAGGTCATACCAGAATAGAGTCATCACACTCCCTGACTCCGACTGGCAAAAACAGAAACTATGAACACCAAAAATCCAAGAAAAATAGGGCGACAGCTCACTTTCTTTCATGGCTGGGCATTTCCCTTCAACTCAGTCAGATAGTTTTGGGGCGGGACAACGGCTTTCCCGCACTGACTGAAAGAAGCTTTCCACATCACCCGGCTTTAGTCTTTCCCATACCACCTACGGCGCTGAGTGGATTTGCTGAAATGGTGGCAAAAAGTGTTTGCAAATGCAGCTCATCCCAAGGATATAAGCGTGTTTTGATGAAACTGGTGCATCAAACTCGAACTGAACAAAAATAATACGGTGATATGTTTGTCAACCAAGAATCAAAAACAAGTTTTTAAAGTTTAAAGGACGACTTCAATGAATGTGCGGTTACCTGACCTGTGGAGCTAAAACATTGGAGTTTGAGATTTGGTTTGAAATTGAGATTGATAAGATTTGAAACCTGAATTTGAGAACTTTGATAGAGCCTGCTGCATGCTAGACTCGGTTTCCAAACTTGAAGCTCATAGATCCCCAAAATTCCTATATCCCCTTATCCATCCC